TCTACTGCCAGCTGTGTTGCTTTATGTGATTCACCTTAAATCCAACTTGTTCTAGATATTCTAAGTGGTAGGATTATATTACTAAAATGTATTATCTAAGTTTACTTTTATGCCTCCATCTTCTTTTTTTGTTTGTTTATGTCTTTGCTCTACCAGAACGTCGCTCTGAGTTTAATAAAGAAACTCAAAAATATCCATCACATGAGAAAGTGAAAGTAATCACTGACAAGTGTGCACGTACCGCTCAAAGACTCATGTGGGACGAAGCCTTTCAGATTTTCTAGGATCACACTGATAGGTTTTGGAATTTCTGAGTCAGTGCAAACACGTTGCTCTGAAAGAAAACAAGAAGTTCAGAATGTTGTCAGCATTAAAACCAGTCTGAGATTTACTTTCTGTTCTGTTGTTTGTTTCTGTTTTACAAGGAAATGTCTGTTTGCGCTTAATATATATATATGAATACTGCAGGTTCAGTCATTCTGTAACTATATTTATAATAAATTTGCTCTAAAAACAGACACTTACCCTCCAGCGTGGAGGCTGCTTCAGGATCAATGATTTTCTCAGATGAACCTGACATGATTCCACCTGAAGGAAATAAAAAACACATGCAGACAGCAGATTGATCCTGTTTCTGTGTCTTTAATGTGCTTTTTATTCATTCCTCCTTGTTGGAGGGTTCATAAGCTTCAAGGATCGACGGAGGAAAAAGAAAAACTCACCTGAAAACGGAATAAATCACAACGTCAATGAGATGAACGTGAAGCAGCGCAGCAGGCAACCTGTCGCTGCAACTATCTGCCGGTTCTTCACGCCGAAACTCAGATATTTAGAATATGATCAACCGTATTGCAGCCAAGAACAACGACTTCAAGGAAACAGAAAGTGAAACTGATGTCCGCAGGTCGTGACGTAATGTGCGCCTCAAAACAATCTGTAGCCCCGCCCCCTTCCGTGGACAGAAGCCACGTCAAACATTATCACATTAAAAGGTGTGCACATTTATATCTACACATTTTACAATAGAATTCATGAATTACATTCATATATACGTATATTTATAGATAACATAAGGTTTTATTTAACAAAAAAA